ATTATGATGAGTCGGTGAAACTCCGACGAAACAGTTTGTCACAGCCCCTCGTTTGTTGTCCTCTTCTCTCTCTCTGCCTACGGTTTTACCGGGCAGTTCTGTTTGTGACGATATATATATATATATATGTATATATCGTCACAAACATATATATATATATATATATGTATATATATATATATATACAGGGTTGCCGGCGTTCAGGACGGGCCGAACGCCCGAACCCGAACGCCCGAACGTTTGGGACCCCCTCTCGATGCGTTCGGACGTTCGGCTGAACGCGGAACAAAAAAAAAATAAAAAAAAAATAAAAAAATGGTTTTCAAAAATTGTGAAAAAAATATATGTCATGCAGAAGAATAAACTAAATAACATTTGCCTCAACAGTACATCCAAATTCCTTACCAAATTTGAACTAAAAATCAAATACGAAAAATAAATAATATTAATGAAAATAAGAAAAAATAAAACGAGAATGAAATTATTGGGCAGGCAAGCAAGTTTTTGACACCGCCATCTTTGGCGATTTTTCATTTTGTTTTGGCTTTGTCAAATGCCATGAAATTTTATACATATTTATCTTACATAATAGAGAACCTACAAATAAAGTTTGAAAAAATAATAATTTTTTTCAAACCCCGAAATAAAGGGAAAACAAAAAGTGAAAAGAGAAAAAAAACAAATTAGTAAGTGGGAAAGCAAGTTTTGACACCACCATCTTTGCCGATTTTTCATTATTGTTTGGCTCAGAATGACTTCAAAATTGGAAGACAGGTAGCTTACATAACAGAGAACTCACAAAAAAACAATCAGAAAAAACAAATAATGTTTAGGTACCAAAACATTTTTTTGCGGGGTCCAAACCCCTTCGAGTTTGGGCCCCGGGGACCGGAACGCCCGAACGTCCGGGGGTCAGCTTAGGGGCCTCCGTACGTTCGGCCTGGCAACTCTGTATATATATATATATCGTCAAATAGAACTGCCCGGTAAACCGTAGGCAGAGAGGGAGAAGAGGACAACAAACGAGGGGCTGTGACAAACTGTAATATGTGACGATATATATATATATTGTCAAACAGAGCTGCCCGGTAAACCGTAGGCAGAGAGGGAGAAGAGGACAATAAACGAGGGGCTGTGGCAAACTGTTTCATCGGAGTTTCACCGACTCATCAGGAGGCTGAACCCTTGTTTGTTGTCCTCATCTCCCTTTCAGCCTACGGTTTACCGGGCAGCTCTGTTTGACGATATATATAAATGGTTATCAACACGTACATATGGAGGTCCCCGGCCCGACCTCTGGACGTTCGGGTGTTGGGGGTCCCGTTCAGGGTCCAAACCTGAAGGGGTTTGGCCTGCGCCAAAACTTATTTCGGGACCTGAAAATTATTTTTTGTTTCTGTGAGTTCTTTATGATGTGAGGTACATGCCTATAAATTTTGAAGGCATTTTTGCGAAGATGTGGCTCCTCGGCAGGCCTAAGGGGCCCCTTATGCAAGTGTGCCCGCCCTAAGTGAAGGCGGGCCTAACAAATCATGAGAGGCCGAATGCTGTCAAGTTCGTATTTGGGGTTCAGGCAGTTGTGTCGCGTCAGTTGGTTGAGGGAACCCAGGACCTGAGCAGCAAATACTTTCCACGACCTTCTAGGCCTTTTCTGAAATGCAGGCCCTGGGCCACATCCGCAGCAACATACACAGACAGTTGGCAGGCGTAACTGAACGAGGCCCAGCAGCAGCAGCCGAGGCCCAGCTACCTGGGGCCTACTCGAAGCTTCTGGGCGCAGGCCAGGCCAGACTCTTTCCATATAGGAAAGAGTTCACTGCCTGGCATCTCATTTCGGGCACTTGGCAGTTTGCGGCAGCACTGCAGGAGCAATTGCTTGCGTGCTTCTGGTAGCACTGGGGCAAGGTGTTGCGCATGTGCGGTCGTGTGGGAAGAAGGGCGCAGCTGAGGGCAGCGCCATAGCCCAACTTCCATAGCTGGCTGGGCTTGGACATACAGTAGGGCGCAGTGGTGGTCTTCGGGTGTATAGAGGGAAGACAAGGGAGAAGGATGAGGGGGGGAGAGAGAGAGAGAGAGAGAGAGAGAGAGAGAGAGAGAGAGAGAGAGAGAGAGAGAGAGAGAGAGAGAGAGAGAG